TTTTCAAGGCACCTCTCCCTATTTTACAAAACATTTATTAAATTTTTGTACCCTTAATTTGTTCAGAAGTGTCTTGTCTTTACCTGTAACTTGGCCGTAAATTTATCTGAAGAGACCAGTCTTGTGTATGCATTTACCTCAGGACCAAATCTTAACCGTTGATTGTGTCTAATAGTCTCAGTTAAGACATTCAATTACCTTTCTGACAGCTGTAGTCAGATCTTTTTTGAGCATTAGATTTCTTATAGCTTTTTAAATTGATGTGAGAGGCAGAAAGAAAAGGAAAATGGCATACTTTTCCCCGTATAAGAACAGCTTCAACTTCCTTTGCCTCCTCAAAGTTAAACCATGATCCTTTTCCTTTCTTTCACCATTTTCCGTTACTAGTTAGATTTATCTAAGTTATATGTCCTCATGAATATAGGAAAAAACAAACTTTTCCTCCTGTATTCACTCAATACAGAACACTTCTGTGACTATTTGTGTGACCATTTCACCTCTGTATCGACCATTTCTCTGACATAAGCTGGGTGTCTTGAATTGATTTCAATTCAGTTCTGCCACTGTCTACCTGTGTAAGAGTCAGATCCCTCAAGTTTAGAGCTCAGTCCTGCAAACTGCCCTTCCACTTCAGATGCCAGTCTCAAGTCCCAGCCTCTGGTACTTCTGACTGACTGGCTGTGGATCGGGGGTTCCCACAACCCCTTCCTTGAGTTTGATCATTTGCTAGAATGACTCACAGAACTCAGGGAAGCACTTAACTTACTACTGCCACACTATTACAGAGGATATTGTCAAAAGGCAAACTTACATCAATTTAGTTTGAAGATCTTAATTGGCTTTATTTAGGATTCTAGAAGTGGGCAACACCTCATTCCATACAATAAAGTAAGTGTTCCAATGAACCAGGCAGAGGAGGTTGGTTTTACAGACAGAGAAGGGCTGAGGAAAGCAGAAACAAAAAGTGGATTGGTAATTTCAAAGTTACTTTCCTTGTGAGGTGGGAACAGTAGAAAAATAACTGATTGATTAACGCCAGGTTACTTCAGATTACCTCTTGTTGTAAAGATTAAAGACAGAGGGGATTAGCATCGAAACTGGCCTGCTTGGGAAATTAGCCTGTTATCTCTCTCCCTTGATTTCTTGGAGGGTCAGATAACAACTCAGTTTCAGTTTGGTGACCTCAACATCAGTGACTCCATTTTGATTTTTAGTCTGGTTTGTTGGAGTTTAGTGCAGGAGCTTAGTTCAAGACAATGGCCCTCTATAACTTTTATTTAACAATATTTTAAAGAATACAAATGAACAGCCAGATGAAGAGATACATAGGACAAAATATGGGGGAAGGGAAGTGGGAGCTTCCATGCTCCCTCTGGTTGGGCACATTACCCTCTATGTGTTCAGCAACCTGGAAGCTCTCTAAACCCCGCCCTTTTGGGTTTTTATGGTAGTCCATTAGGTAGTCATGATTGATTAAATCATTGGCCATTTGTGATAGGCTCAATCTTTCAGACGCTCTCTCCTCCTCTTGGTTTTATTGGAAGTAGGGCTGAAAATTCTAACCCTCTAATCACTTGGTTGGTTTCACTGACAACCAGCATCCATGAGGCTCTTGACCCCTTCCCCATTCGTCATTTCATTAGGATACATAAGACACTTATCACTTCAGAAATTCTGAGGGTTCTAGGAGGTGTGTGGCAGGAATGGTGACAAAGACCAAAACAAATATATATCAAAATATCACATGTCCTTTCTCTTTGGTTCACATTGCCTTTTTATTTTCCCTGGATGGACTGTTGAAGAACCCGTGTCATTGGACTTAAAAGCCCAGGTTCCCATTACTAGAACACATTTACAACTGTTTTCCCTTCATTGAGATTTACAATGTCGAATTCATTATGTCCACATTACTGCCAGGGTTATTTGCCTAAGTATAGTTGCCACCATTAAAAAAATATACTCAGCAGTGGTCCGCCACAGTCAAGTTCAAGTGTTCAGTATAGCATACGTTATTGAATTTTACCAGTGCCTTTCTCTTCATCTGTTCAAAGTTGTGAAACATTCCACAAGACCACCCTCACTTCAGACACCAACTGCAGAGTTCAATAAAAACCCAAACGTATGAGAAAATAACATGCCCACTGAGCTTATTTGCTTTTTACCTCCTTCAGTCACAGTGGTGGCCTTCCAAACAGGGTGCTGTTCATTCACCTTGGAACTGCAGTCCATAACGCAAGCAGCTCTTTGTTGATTATTAGAGAGCTGTTTATAGCATAGCACTGATGTAGTCACAGGATCCAGCTTCTCCTCAGGTGGTTCCAAAGTCAGCCTTAGGGGAAAAGAGGCTACCTGCTTATAAGTATAATGAGCACC